GCTTTGGATTCAGCCCTCAAATGTTGTTCGTACTGTGTGATTTCGCTAATAAACGGAGAGGAATTGGTTGCTCTTCATCCAAGCCGTAGTGAAACATCCCGTTGCAGTTACCCTCCTAGTCCTAACAAACACAACACGCGTGTGATAGTTGGAAACGCCGCGCATGCGCAGAAATCAAGCATCAGCATCATTCAGTGCACTGATTCTTGTCCTCCCTATGCTTGTCCTACTAAACTGATTTAGAGCCATACATAATCAACATAATAAATTGCAACTGCAACTAAATATTATCATCCTCGTGTGATCTTTTATAAACACCCAAAGTATACAATAAAAAATAATATTAGCCTAAAAATCTGAACTTAATTTCTATTAAGTAATTAAATATATATATATATATATATATATATTATTGATTAAAAATTTACAAATATATATAATTATTAAATTCATGTATTTATTATGTATGTATTTTTATCTCTTTTTTTCCCTCTAGACTTTTCCACGGATCCCCATGTCTGTCCCCTGGTTTGAAAACCCCTGAAATAAACCATAAAAATATTTTATCTAATAATAATTGTCTTTCCAGGAAGTGTAGAAGATGAATGAGATATTTTTGGCGAGTTGTGCTTTTGTGAATCTTTCTGAAAATCCCCACTGAGGAACAGCTGGGTCAAAAGCTGCTCAGAGCATGTGTCTGCAGGAGTCAAACACAGGAACAAGAGCAAGAGGAGATCATTTGTACACGAATGTAGTCACTCCACTTCTTATCCACCCCGCTGACCTCAAGCTGTTGACCCTTGACCATCAACCCCACTGGGAGAACAACTGCTCCTTTCAGGGATCAACAACTGACCTTCTCAGTTCTGCATTCTGCTGCGGATACAGACCGTCAGATGGAATAGATGTTAAACTCAAAACTAAAAAAGCAATGGGGGAATAGCAAGTTTATACTCTTATAACCCCAAACTCGGTTGCAGGTGTGTTCTAGGGTAAACAAGTAAACAATTGCAAAAAAAAAAAAAAATTTAATTAATAATCAAATACAGATTAAAGCATAAAAATAAAATGCATGCAACAGATTGCATGTGAAGATATTCATAACAAGGCCAAGGGCCAAAAAAATAAATAAATAAATAAAAAAGTGGTTTTTGAAATTCCATTATTTTTGTTTCTCATTGTAGACTTTTCCATCACAGCTGATAAATATCAAACCGGAAACAGTGATGGGCAGTGCCACAGTCCTGCTCTGAAATAACACCTGCTTGATTTAGTCCAAAACAACAACACACAGAGATCAACTGCATTTAAATAATAAATAAAACTTAACTTGACTTGGCAGTGATACTCCTATGTTTATTTTGTTCTTCATCCTCAAAAGACCCATTACGTCCGATAAAAAGTAATGCATACTTACAAATAAAAGTTACTTTCCCCAACACTGGCCATGCATATGTTTATATATTTAAAATTTGTCATGTTGGCCTATTTGTAAAAGGCAGCTTGCCTAATGAGAGATTTTGTTATAGTTTCCATCAGCCCAACTAAGGCAGTGAGGATATTATAGGAAAATGTTTCCAGGGCAAAACATTTGAATCTGAAACCTTTCACATCGCCGTCCAATTTGTTATAGGAAACACATTACAAGAACCTGTTTACATTTTCATCAACAACTGAAAAGAATATATATAGTATATCACTGATTTCTACAATCATCAAATTTGGATTGAGGCCCATGATGCGTAGAGAAGAACTTGAACACATTTTTATTCACGTACGTCCTTCGGCCAGACATGAATTTGTTCCTGTTAACACTTCTGACAGTGAGGCAAAAAAGAAGCTGATTATTTTCAGATGGAGCTCATCATGCGTCATTGTAGATGAGATTGGCATGCGTTTGTGTGTGAGATTGAAACAGGGAGAAATAATAACAGTTTAGTCCCTTTGAATCACTGATGAAAAGATAAATCTCACCTCTCTTTCCTTCCAATTCCCCTCACTCTTACTCTCGCCTCTCCTCCTTCTCCCATACAGTTCCCATATTAAAGCACCGATGCATGATAAGGAGTATTGTGTAGTTCCTCTGCTTCCTCCGCTTACCGGAAGCTTCACTGGCTCCCCATTGACTTTCCCCATCATTTCCCCCCTCATCCCGTTCTCACACAGACCTGCCAGGGCTTGTATGTCCACACAGCTGAGAACAGTTGCATCCTGGGAGTAAAAATTCCATTAATGTCTCATCTTTCACACTAAAATTTAAAGGGTGTCCACATACATTCTTGTCTTTAAAGTCCCCATGAAATGAAAATGGACAATTCTTGTTTTGTTTATGGAATAGTGCAGTATTTATTATAAATTATTTATCCATGCAAATATTTTTTTAATGAATGTGCATTCAATTTAAAGGAGTAGTTCACTTTTAGAAAAATTTTTGATGTTTTTGATAAAAACATTCCAGCATTTTTTTTTCCATACACAGTATAATGCACTTCAGTGGGAACCAAATGGTTGAAGGTCCAAAAGACACTTTCAGTACAAACTGCAAACTGTTCAAAGGGCTTTAAACGATTCCAGACGATGAATAAGGGTCTTATCAAGCGAAAGGATCGCTCATTTAAAAAAAAAATAACAAAGTTTAAGTTTTATAAGCTCAAATGCTCGCCTTGCTCTGTTCTGTGACACACGTTTGTGACTCTATTCGGAATCTTTTTTCCGAGTCGTTTGGTTCATTCAACGAAAGAAAACGAACAAATTGACTCGGAAAAAGATTCGTTCATTTTGATGAACGAGTTCGAACAGGAGAGTCACGAACGCGCATCACAGAACAGAGCAAGGCGAGCATTTGAGCTTATAAAACTTTGTTATTTATTTATTAAATGAGCAATCGTTTCGCTTTATAAGACCCGTTATTCATCGTCTGGAATCGTTCAAAGCCCTTTGAACAGTTTGCAGTTTGTACTGAAAGTGTCTTTTGGACCTTTAACCGTTTGGTTCCCACTGAAGTCCATTATATGGAGAAAAACTGGTATGTTTTCATCAAAAACCTTAATTTCTTATCGACTGAAGAAAGAATGAAATTGATATCTTGGATGACATGGGGGTGAGTAAATTATCGGCAAAAGTTTTTTTAAAAGTGAACTACTCCTTTAAATAACTTTATTCAAAAACACAAGATACAGCGCACTAGAATCTCGTGGAACACCGTAAGAGGCTGTTCACACATATTTCAGTCTTGTACCCCCAAAACCGACGCATCTAACATGTTTACATAGAAAAATAAATTAAAAGCAGCACAGATAAACACAAAAACGCAGAACCAACCCTAAAGGTTAACAAATGTTAGCTTTTTCTTGAAGGCCATCCAGCTTTGGTAACAAATAAGTTGATTGTTTCTGCTTTAAGTGAAGGAAAACCAGTTGTTGTTTTTTTTGATGATCTACTAAAAAGGAAACTTGTTTTGTTCAGAGTGAAGCTGGACATTCCTGGTGATGATAGAGAAGCATTTCCTCAACCTCCCTTGCATGCAAAAGAGAAAAAAAAAAGCAAAATTTCCGGAAATAAAGGGAGTGAGTAAGCTGGTTTCCCATCGCTTTGCTATTTCTGTCCCAAAGAGATGTTTTGGAGTGCATCATGCCATTATTCTGAAGCTTTTCCTTTCTCTAATTTAGACGCAAAACAGGATATGGCACACTACATTCGCTAAAAAGATGAATTCATGATAGAAACATATGCGACTGGTCAACAGACTCAGACTCCTTTTGGCAAAGTATTAGACTGGCCCCAACAAACATGAAGTTCAGGCTCAAGTGCAGTCAATGTGTAGCCATGCTTATCTCCACACAGACACACTAATGGCGTCTATTTTTCCAGAAACGATGGCAGAGAAGTTGCATTGTTCTGGTCAAGTGGTACCATGATGAATGGATGTGGAGCTGTTCGAGAAGGAAAAGTCATTAGAAGCAGGAATTGCTTGTTAGGCTTAGTAATGTGGCCTACTTTCTCTGACAGAAACTTTCCTCAAATATTTACCCTACTGTTTGAATTCAATAAACAATGACTTATAGTTAAAAAAAAATATTGTTTCATCGGAGTCTGTGAAAGCTCATTTACACATTAAATAAGTCACATTGATTTGTTAATGTTTCAGCAGGAGTTCAATAGGTTTACAGTAACCACTTTTGCCACTTGGAAGTGCATACGGTAGTTATCACAAACCATATTGCTCAAAAAGTATGACAGACCATAATTATCAAGGTCTCCGTGCAGGGTTTGAATTCTCTCATGGAGTTATTTCCTTTTAAGATAGATGCAAACACAAAATATAGTAGTTTGAGCAAGTAAAACATATGTGGCCTAAGTGCTGCTCATTCTCAAAGGGTCTTAATCAAGCAAAACACACTGAAGAATCAATCAAGTTAAGACAACTGCAACCTCGAGGTGTTTCATTTATGAATATTAACTAAAACATGCAAGACAGGGAGAATAATGGTCAGTGGGATATGGCTAAAAATAATGAAGCGCTCAATGTCTGATTAATATTAATGGTGTGTTAAATAAGTGGAAGCACAAGACGTCCCAAGTGTGACTGATGTCCTCGTATGGCTGGCTAAAGGCTGATTTATAAACCAGTCAGACTAATGAACACTAAAAGCAACGTTCTGCATCCCATTGATCACTATATCTTTCTGCTTTAAGCTGCAGACCGATCCGGAGACTAATACAGCCGGGTTTTTGGAGCAGCTGGAATGAATTCAAAACTGCTTTTAATTTACTGTGAACCAACCCCTATCATTTATGTTTTAGATCATTTTTGTCAAATATAATTATATAGCTTTTTTCGATTGCTAAATCACTGTAACCGTTGGCCCCAAACTATTCATACAAATAATTTCTCGAAACAAAGACACGTCTCAAAACTATCAGTTTTCACAGATGTTCCAATTTCTGCAAAACTCTACCCCAAAACACCCTTATTTTACACAGGTTTAATCATGCTCTCATTCAGAAAACACAAGTACACAATATATTTAACTCAAGTCATGACAATGCAAATAGCATACATTTATCCATGTGTAAACATTAAATATCAAAACTGAATATCATAATATCAGGATAATATAAATACAGGTGATTGTGTGCTTTGGAAAAATGTATCCTAGTGGCGGGACACAAAGGAAGAGATAGAGGAGAGGACAAGAAAAAATGTTTCTGGTGAAATAAAAAGAGAGTCCATTTGCCTACAGGGTCATCACTATACTGTTTTGTGTTGCATACTGAGTTCATATTCATCAATTATTTTGTATTTGTACTTTTATTTTATTTTCCTTAAAGCTTATTCTTTGAATTTCACTGTATCTGCAACCCTCTATTTATGTGTATACTGCAATTCCTTCCTGTAATTCCTTCCTAGATATTGACTTGCAAAATGATTTGTGATTGCCAAAAGGATGCTTTTGAATTGATCTTATTAGTGTTATTGGAGAAGTCTGTGCATTTGTGTATAGATTTAAGATTGTGTTCATAGTTGTGAGAAAATGGTGAATTGTTTCATGAATTGTGTGTTAGCGATTGACAAAAAATTGTAAAAGAGCATTTTTAATTGTTGGTTTGGAAAATCGACAACAATTAATTTAAAATCTGGACTTTAAAAAAAAATTAATAATGGAAAATCAAAGCAATAAAGTTGTATCAAAATAATACATTAAAATTAAATCAATATTTTACACTAAACAGCAGCACTACCAGCTTTGGTGTTCAAACTGTAGATTCCTTTATACCAATAACTGCATAACATCTCGGGGACTGGAGGGGGTCAAAGAGCTGAACCAGCGCAGAATGAGAAACATTATCCTGTAAGGAAAGGAGACAGTTAAGAGTTAATTGTGATGCTCTAAAATCTGCAGAGAGACACTAAAAGGATATGGTGATGGACAAATTATTAGATGGGAGGAAACCATGTCCCTTTAGGGACGCCATACACTGTAAAAAAAAATATTTTTTCTTTTGTCAAATCAACTTAAATAATTTATTTAGTTCAGATAACTTATTATTTTGAGTTTCTGATGATTAAATCAATCTCCTTCATTGTATTAACTCACTTTTTCCAGTTCAATCAACTTAAAATTTTAAGGCAACCAGGTTACTTAATTTAAGTTAAACCAACAATATTTTTTACAGTGTAGAAATCCATTTTTTATTTTGTTGATTTCAATATTTATTTACTCAATAGTGTTCCTGTAAAATTTTCCTTAAAATGCTTAAAGGCATACCCAAAATAAATTGCATGCTGTTCTTGAACCATTTGGAGTATATGCAAGCAGGCATGAGGTTTTTTGCCATATAAAATTACAATCAATCAGGCTATACTGGTCTTGCTGTATGGTTTTGATACACTAAAAATACATATTAATTGTTCGGCAGTGAGACTACACTGGTTGTGCTTTATATTTTTGATTTACTAACAAGAATCAATTCAAAAGAATCATTTGTTTAGGAATCAGAATACACTGGTCATGCTGTATATATCTGATTCCCTAAAAAGGACATACTCATCATAAGAGTCCTTAATTTGGGAATCGGACTAGCTGGTCATGTTGCATGTTTTTGATTCACTAAAAACAATTGGATCATAAGATCAGATTGTTCAGGAATCAAATTATACTTGTTTTCAACCTTGTCTGTGCTTGTATATTTCCAGTCAGAGTATATTATTTTTAGATGAACCGTCATTTCTGTTCAGTTTCAACAATATCTGTAAGTATAAAAGACTATTTGTTCAGGTCCATTAATCATCTTAACTGAAGATTGTTTTTAATCCAAATTAAATCCATATTACAGCTTTCTATAATCACTGACCAAAGCACATTAATATTCTTGGCAGAACATCCTGAGTACCAAGTTATGAAAAGGTTTATACTGGACAAAACCATCCATAGGCCAAATTGTAAAGCGTACCCTTATTTCAGAGTGGTTGATAGAGCCGTCGAAGTGAATCCTTATCATGTTGCCAAGCCCTTTAATGTCTGACATACACAAATCATAGACCCCTGTAGAAAAATGCAAGGATCTGACACAGGAGAGCTTTTACTTGCTTTACATTACATGACTGATAAGTGAACCCTGTAAGATTATGTGGAAATTACTCCCACAGAAACTTGCTGTCACTGTTTTGTGCCGATAAACAAAGTGGTTTTGTCATGATCTGAATTTTCAGTCTAACAATCTTCACAGACGGCTGAGTCTGATACTCCTGACTGTCGTCGTGAGGAGGATTGAGGTTTTATGTTCAAAGCCTGGTGGGCAAGAGGGAAATGGAGGTGTAACTTAAAACCTTTGAACTCATGTATGCTAAAATCTTTTGAAACCAGTTTTTGACTGTTTTGGAGCTGCTATATGTGGCTAATGTCTGTTTGTAAAAGTTTTTGATTAGGGAAATGTGTGCTGTGGCTCTGAAGTAAAGCCTGAAACAAAAGACCCACACAGTTCTCCAATTATATGAGGATTACCATCTTAACATGGACAAATAGGGGATGAATATATAACGGTGGGTAAACTGGACAACTATGTTCTCTACGCTAACAATTGTTTTTTTTTTTTACCTGCTCTTTCAAGTAGCAAAGTCGGTCCAGGAGGATGAGACCCTCTATACATGGAGCCAAGGTTACTTTCAACTGAGGAAGATGAAAACAGCATGAGACAGACTAATGTCAGAATGAGGTTAGCAATGAAAAAATAATAGACATACAACTTTCTATGACACTCACCATGTTAAAAGCAACCATCTCATTCATCCTGGGTGTGTAGCGATCATGATAGCTCTGAATATCGCCATCAGATAGCTGAAGAGAACAAGAAATATGGACTCAATGATTTTAATTCAATAAAGGAATGAGATCATGTCCTACTTAACATCTCTTCTGTAGGCTACCTATCTAATTCCATTCAATTCAAATTCAAAAAAACTTTATTATCTATCAACCAGTGATAGAAAATTGTCTTTTGTTAAAAAGGCTAACATATACACATACAAACACATACATCACACTAAAAAATTGTTACAAGGTAAAAAAGTAGGCCTGCCTAAAAAATGTAAACATTAGTTTTGACATTAATAATATTAAATAAACATTAAATGTGATATTTTTAATTTAAATAAAAATATATACAATATGTGCTGTAGTAAGCACATATACACACTTAAATTGTTTTAACTATATATACATTTTGTAAAATTAAACGTAATTAAAATAATTGTCTTTTTTAAATACATATGTAATATTGTTTTAAAAAAAGAAAATATACATGAATCTAAATTTGAAAAACTGTAGATATAAAATGACAAAAATAAAATTACAAATATTACAAACTAAAACAAGATTTAAACATACAAAAAATATTTTAAAAATTTACAATAAAAATGTAACATTTTTAATTTAAATAAAAATTATACATAAATATAATTTTCTATTTTAAATACATGTTATATTTCATTTATATACAAATATACATGAATATATTCTATTTAATGTCTTTATATAAATTGTACATTAATAAAAATGTAGAATGTGTGTATATATACATATTCACATGTAAAAATGTTACAACATTTTAAATCAAATATTTAAATAACTTGGTTACACTGATATCGTCTGGGCCTGCTGATGCGTTTTTAATAGTCTCTTGCTCTCTCTACCCATATTTCCCTACATGCCAAACATACTTTAGTCTGTTTATCTCATTAGTTCCATTGTGGTGTAATTCAGATGCATGTGGGCATACTGAAAAAACATTAAACGTAATATGAGAACAATAGGTTATTACTTTAGTCTCATCCAGATCCAGCTTCCTAAGTGCCCGTCTGACATAGTCCACAAACGAAGAGGCTTTGGAGTACACGTTCCCGACACGTTTCTCACTGCCAATAGGAAAAAAAAAAAAATACTGCATCATATCACAAATAAATTAACATAGTTTAATTGATTTCTGTAGTAGTTTAGAGACTGATATTAACGCAAGTCACATGCAGAAGGTGAACTTTGCACTCCTTGTTGACTTGCACATTACCGTAACCTGATGGTTTGGCTTTGACTCACAGGAGTTTAATAAAAAATTGAAAACAGGGCTTTAGGGTTTGACTCATGAGCATCAGTCACCACTGAATCAGATCTGCTCTGTACAGTCATGATCAAATATCTCGATAAACATTTCTCAGCCTCTGCAAAAGGAAGGAAGGACCAGAGGGAAATCTGGAGCCTCTTTATCCTCTCCTCTAGTTTACGAAAGCTCTCCGACGACTAAAACAAAGACAGGCGGTTTTCTGTCTAATGAGCAGATGATGTGGTGAGAGTGCTGTCGTTGAGATATCTGATCCTGGTGTTTGTGAGCGGAACGGCGTCAGGGAGGGAGCTTAATATTTGTCATCGTGTGCATTTCACACTGAGAGTGGCTCATCAGGGGGCCCGGGGTGTGTGTTCAAATCTAGGACAGCAAACTCATTTTTATGGTTCTGCATGGTACTATAATTAACCGCCAAACCTCTAATACTTGGTTTAATTGTCCCTGTTATGCTATTTCAAAGTTCCTAATTTTGTTTTGGAGGTGTCCTACAGTGCGTTTACATGCATCCAAGGTCAAAAAACACTTTACACTTTCTCATAACATACATTGCAGCATCACCTCTTTTCTCACTGTGTCTGAATCGTTCGATAACAGATTCCGTCTCTCAACCCTCCTTTTCAAGAACCTACTCTGCTCTGATTGGTCAGATGGCATAGTCTGTTGTGATTGGTCTATTGGAAATGGAAGTTGAAAGTGCATGCAAAGGGGATTTGGTTTCGCAGCGCATTTCAACATTTCGACAACACAAACTAAACTCTTCCAGTCATCATCTTCAGCTACACTGTAAAAAAATGATTTGTAATCACAACATGTTTTACTTAAATAATTAATGTGGTTCAGATAACATAATATTTTGAGTTTCTGATGATTAAATCAATCTCCTTCATTGTATTAACTCAATTTTTCTATTTCAATGAACTTAAAATTTTTACGCAACCAGGTTATTTAATTTTTTATTTAATTTAATTTTTTCTAGGCTGGCATTATACAAATTAGTTACAAACCTCTGTAGGTTTCTGCAGAAAGTAAGACTGGATTTACTGATGACTCATTTCAGGCATGCACTTTGTTCTCTGAAACTATGCAGTCCTTGTACATTCACAAGCAGCTACTGTATATAACACTACATGAACGATACTATCCGAAAAAGCCCAATAGGGGCACTTTAAATCATGAAAATTTACTGCGGCAACAGTTAGTTCTTCCAGATGTTTACATGCATCTAAAAGCCATAAAACAAACAGAGCTATTATTATTAATATCATGCATACCACAGTAGGAAAACAAATCTAGTATGCTATAAATATGACATGGTGTTACATATGAGGGATACCTTTTAAAGCAATCGTAGTGATCCTGTAAAATAACATGGAGAACCGCCCGATAAAAAAGTGACTCCATAGGCAGCTGTAACAGTCAAGAAACCCTGTTAACATCAGTACAAACTATTGTGTTCTCATGTTTGTACTTATTTATGCAATGCATACTTATGTTTGCTTACTTATTCGTGTTTTAATCACATCATCTGAAGTGTTTGTCCCATTTGTGACAACTCCAAAAACAGATTGTGTCATATTTTCCATTACAATTATGTCATACAAACAATCAGCCGTGCAGAAGACAGCACAAAGAGATTGTCCGCGCTGACCGCTTCACCTCTGAACTTTCATTCATTTTTAATCGAGAAAAAAATCTAATTAAAATACACAGTGCATCTAATTAAACCACATAAATATGCATAGCCGCATATGCTGTACGTTCTGGCATTCAAGCCTGACCAACACATTATGATCAGCTGTGCAAACAGCTCTGGTTGCAAGAGACTGTGCTCCCTATATGCAAATCTTACAAGGGAATTGGGATTTTAATTGAAATATGAATATTAATATGATATGACACAATAAAGTACTCACCCCTCCTCCGGCAGACACCCTCTCCAGAGCCTGAGAGGGGGAAAATGAGTTTGTGAAGAGCTCAATATTAGTCAAGCCTGCTGAAAACAAGCTTGAATGTGATAACTAAACACATTGTGACATAATTTGATAGTCGCTTTTTGTTTAATAGCAGATAGACTGTGTTCATCTTACAAGAAAAATCACCTGATTATCATAAATAACATTTTTATAACATTTATCTACCGTAATAAGCAAAGGATGTGGTTGATGATGCGTGGGCAATGTGAGATGTTTTAGTGACGTGTGAGGCAGACTTACGAGACATGCTGACATCCTGGCGTTTCGACCACAGAAACAGGCCTGATCCTTCAGATACTGACTCATGGGGAAACCACACGCACCACTGACACACCCTGGCCCACACCAAAAAAACAGAGAGGAATAATCAAACATCTTTTTTACATAAACTATCGTTCAAATGTTTGAGCACATGCCACCCATACTGAGGTTTGAAGCCTATTTATGGTGCAGATAAACACTGTTTATCCCAGATATCATGCTAATCTAAACCATGCCAAACTGAACAGGATCCAGAGTCCGGCACAGGCCTGTGTGTGTGTGTGTGTGTGTGTGTGTGTGCAGGTTTGGCTATACTTGAGGGCCAAATGTCCTGTAATATTATGACAACTGACTAGTGAGAATATACTGGTCCTTACTAGTTTAAAAGGCATACAAATCAGCCAAAACATATAAATATCATTAACCTGAGATAAAAAATCAATGGAAGATGGACCTTAAGTTTGAGTTTGTAGGTTCCCACCAATAAAACAGGGTTTAAAGCTGATGTTTGTATTATTTTTGATGAAAATGACAAATTTTAGGTGCAGAGACAACTGTAAGTAAGCCATTCACAGGTTGACTGCTTAACTAATGATGTTTGTGGGTGGTACTTCCTGTTTCCTGTTTCAGTAGGAGACATTGCATGGGCTCTTTTTGAACTGAGTCAGAAAATGTAGGCCTTTTGCAGAGATATCGTAGAAAAAGTATTACCGGTAGGCTGTTAATTCTGATCAGGCAAGCAAAACTCAAAGCAAAATCTTTGTAACACTGTGGGGTGCCGCTAGTGGCACAATAATTACACACTTCGCCTTTAAAAGCACAGCATGATGCTGTAATCATGCCAGGTTTTTAAAACTAAAAGGCACAATGTGTATTTCCATTGGAACTGCATTTGTTTCACTCCCTATTGTTTCTTCTTCAGAACAAATGTGCTTGTAAAGCGAGCCCTGAAAACTCTGACATCACCATGCTGAAAACGCCACATGTTGTACTGACTTTTCTTGATTTAGTGAGATCAAACAGACAGCGTGTGTGGAGAGGGAGAGTGTTTATGATGTCAGTCCAACATTTGAACACACTTCATGTGTTTTAGCTCTGTCCCTGTAGCAAGCGAGAGTCTGTGATGTGATCACCAGGCTTTACAAGACAATGAGACATTATTGTAGTCCTGCTGTGCTTCATAACATTGGACACTGACTCAATCGACAGTAATTATGTGATCAAAATATCATATTTAGCAGGCACTCAAACCTTACTGCAGTGTCTCCTCTAAGAAAAAGTATCTGAGAGAAGGGGAAAGGCAGAGGGGACTGACAGAAACCACATGGTTTATTGGGACTAGCACAATTTCTTAAAGGGATAGTTCACCTAAAAATGGGAAATCTTTATTTCATCTGCAGAACACAAAAGAAGATATTTTGAAATCATCTCAGTTTTTTTTTTGTCAATACAACAGAATCCAACATTATATCAAAAATAGTAACAAGCATTATTATTAAATAATAAAATAATTAATTAAAAAAATGCATGTATTTAATAAAACAATGATTAACTATTCATTGAAAAATTAAACATGTAATAGTAATAATGAAATAATAATAATAATTATTATTATTATATTTTGTTCTAAATGTATTAATCACTGTTTTATATGGAATAATACATTTTACATTATTTGACCCAGGGCTGCAAACAAATATCAAATTTAATTCATTATTTAAAAATAATAATATGTAATAATAATTGTAATAATAATTCATAAATGTATAACAATAATAATTACTATTATTATTATTTGTATTATTATATACTAATTATATTTATAATTCAAAATTAAAAGAAATGTTAGTAATACTAACAAACGTTATTATTAAATAATTAATCAAATAAACAATGAAATTAATTAACGTATTAATTAAATATTGAATTAACTTAACAAATAAACAACAATTTATTATTTGACTCAGGATTGGTAATTATTCAATAATAATTTTTATAAGAATACATAATTGTAGAGTATTATGTTATTATTGTTTATATGAATTATTAGGATGTTACAAGTACATTATAATTATTATTATATTATTATTAATCATATTAAATTATTTATTTAACCAACAACAACAACACTTTATAAAATAATTGATACATGTTATAATAATAATAATAATAAATTATTATTATTTTATTATTACTATTATTGTTTTACATTTTTTGACCCAGGATTGGCACAGGGCTCCACATTGCTGGAAAGAACATTATGAAAGAACTAAAATTACACACATCTTATCTTGTTCGAAGAAGAGGCACCCGGTTTGACTGGGACTGATCTGTTCAGGTGTGTGTGGGACAGGAAGTGTTCTTACCCTGTCTGTCCTGATCAAACTCTTCAGAAAGCAGGTGGTAGCAGCAGCCCACACTGCAAACGGCCCGCAGCTCCTGTTTGGCCCCGAACATCCGCAGAGTGCTGGGAGCCAAATCTCCACACGTATGCAGGCCAACCAGAACTGCATCCTGGGTACCGGCCAGAGAAAGAGAGAGAGAAAAGGGTAATTTGGTGAAGTCAGCACAGACCGTTTGCCATCTCTCATTGATCATAAATGGACACATCCAAGTCCCTCTCCATTCTTGAGCTCAATTTCACCTAATTAACATGATTAGGATAATCGCAGGCGTCTCGCTGAGCTGTAATAGCAATGATACAACTTCTGCTGTTATCAAAGCCCACAGCTGGACCACTATTGCAGCATAGCGTGTCTCTTGTGCTATTATATGAGTTTAGTACACGGAAATTATTTGATCCTTAAAGAATATCATATGAAATTAATTCACAAAACGTACGCAATGAAAAAGAAAAAAACAAATGCTTCAAAAAGTATGCAAAAACACAGCGTTAGCTATATAAGACTATATATACTGTGTGAAAAAAAATAGTATGATATAATAAAATTATGGCTGTCAAACGATTAATTGCATCCAAAATAAAAGTTTGTGTTTACATAATAAATGTGTGTACTGTGTATAATTATTTTGTATACAAATACACACACATGCATGTATATATTTAAGAAATATTTGCATGTACTGTCTATATATTTATATATAATATATATTATATATATTAATATATAATTTTATTTATTAAATGTATACATGCATGTGTGTGTATTTATATATAGAAAATATACCCAGTACACACACATATATTATGTAAATTAATTGTTTGACAGCTTTAAATAAAATATTTTTATTTTTATTATTAGTAATAATAATAGTTTTTTATTTATTTATTAGTAGTTGTGTTAGTAGTAGTTGTAGTAGAAGCAGTAGTGATAATAAAAATTATAATATACTTAAATTTAATTTAAATTGACAAAACTACTCAATCATTTATTTACGTAACTCATTATTTACTACCATTAATAATTACAAAACATATTAAATAATGAAGGAAATAATTCATTTCATAAATGAACAACAATAATGTGTAATTCATTATAAAATACATTCCATAAATAATAATTTAATAATTATTATTAAATAATTAATTAAATAAACAATTGGTTTAATAAGTTGTACAATTTATAAAAGTATAGATTTAATAAATGTAAAACATTCTATAGATTTAATAAATTAAATAATTATTTAATGTAATTTTATTATTATTATTTTACATTATACATTTGTTTTATTTTCAAATGAATAATACATTATTATCATTGTTGATTTTCTCCCTCGGTTGAAACCCCTTAATAATTCTAAAATGTATTATTAATTATTTTACAGTGAATTATAAAGGATTATATTACACTAGTTTTCTCCCCTGGTTCACTGAAACCCCATGTGTTCTGACATCCACTCACCTCCAGCTCAGTGATCAGCGTCTTGAGCTCAGTTTCTGCAGTGACGTATGAGGTCAGAGGTGAAAACAGGCTGCTGTCGCTGTCGTTCCTCCTTCCTTCCCTCTCTTTCCTCTCCAGATTGTCCCTCTTCCTCCTCTCTCGTTCCTCCAGGCTCAGCTGGCTGGGATGGACACGAGGAGAAGCGTCCTCTATGACGTCTAGAGACAGCGTGCTGAGGAAGCTGCTTCCTGCATCCCAATCACTGGGGTCTAATGTGGCATTATCTGAAGCGGATAAATCACTGGAGACGTGTTTGGATAAATCACTGGTTTCCTCTTGAGCTGCAAACCTTCCTTTTCCATTTGTAATAAAGTTTTTGTTGCCATCACTGTTCTCACAGCTTCTGCTGTGTTGTTTACTCGCATCCTCACTGTCCAAAGCTTGATTCCCACTGGCTCTGTTCTGTTTCTGATAGGCTTTGGAGAACTTCTTCAGTTTCCTGTTCCTCTCCTGAGCTCCGTGTGTGTTGGTGCTAGAAGAGTCGATACCGAATACCTGTAGGTTGAACTGCATGGATAGATAGGAGCACAGGTAGCCTTTCCCAGATCCCACGTCTATCACCTGAGATGGAGAAACTAAAGATGAAAAAGATGCAATTCAGAACAAAACCTGTTACTTAACTCACTTTGACATGTTCCTACCTGTTTGACCCGGCAGTATTCAGCCAAACTAGCCACGACCTCAGACATCGCCCGCACCTCATGGGCTTTCTTACAGTTCATAAACTCATCTGGAACAGGAACTTTGTCTGATGACTCTCCTATGGAAAATACAGACAATGCATGAGATATATAACCTTGTAATAACCTGAATGTGACATGCATAATAATTACAATTATTAAGTTTCACAGTGGAATTTAAATGTGCTTTACAGTGCTTTTGATCTGAGTGCAGTTACCCGCTATAGTGTCTCCATATATCAGTGTCAGATTCTCCATCAGCTCTTCCAGATGCATACTGACCCCCAGACCCGGGATACTGTGGGCTCTCGCTGCCCTCAGCAGCGCTGATATGTCCACCAGCTTATTTGAGGCATTACAGAAACCAAATGTGGTGTTTTCCTTCTCTAAAAGTAAAAATGTCACTATGAAATACAGCTGATTAAATATAGTACAATGCACTTTAGTTCAATACATAATAAATTAAATTCAAGTACCAAAGAGCTCTTAAGGGAATATGGTGATGTAAAAAATATAAGATAAGAGGAAAAATGCTTAATTGCGTTCCCATCAATATCTATTTTTTAATCTGTAATACAAATGTACATATCTTAAATGAGTCTTATATTAAAATATATAATCATTATTACTAAAACAAAACGTCAATTTGTATACAAATCAAATGTTAATTTAAACCTTTAATAAATGCTGACAGCTTTTTCCCTTGAGAAAAACGAGCATACATAGTAATTAAATGTATATATCCAAATGAATTGATATTGAGTCGAGATTGCAAGAAATGTAAATCAAATAATTCTCACTCAAAAATTGGCAGCCCTGTTGTAATGTACCGAATAAGTAAATGTTTATATTAGAAGGCTTAATGAAATTAATCATATTAAATATTGATAAAATTAAATGATACTGCCGCAGACCATTTTGTGATATTACTCCAAAAAATAATGTAGTATTCTGGGTAAATGTTAAAGAAATGAGGGATATATTAGTAATTTTAATTCTGAGCAGTTTCTTATGTTTATATATTTATTTATTTAAACCACAACTTCTTTATTTAAATCACTTTGGAAAGTGATTTCATTATATATTGCAAACAAATATTTGCACACATTATGACCAGATTGAGTCCGTCTTACCTTCTACCGCCTCCATGCGGTCATCAGTGGAACTGATAGAATGCAACACTTCTTGTGGACTCACACTCATGAACGTGCTCCAAACATCACGCGTGTAAAAGTCCACTGTATGGGCATTCGAGATGCTTAGCGATATGGAGAGAAAGCGCTTAACTTCATGTATTTTCCTTTTTAAAGTGTCAATAGGCAAGTCATTAAACGCCATTATTCACGACACAGAAAAGTGAGAATTTCGTGAGAGCTGCTGCTGTTGACACATTTTCTGTATTCGAGACATAAGTAGTCAAATTAGGATATGATTCATCTCAGCGACCAAATGTGCGGCCATTTTGAGTGTACTAGTCACCGTTTTGTTCTATGTGCGAATAGAAACACATTGCCCTCACACAAATAGTGCTTAATTTGATTAGTTATGCCTTGCGACCACGCGTATGCCGTACGTCATTGTTGTGCGTCTTGACAAGCGAGCATTCGTCTTTTCCACATACTAGCTTAAAACATGGCACCGTTAAAACAAAACTCAAAAAGTCAAGGTCCGTTTAGAGGAAAACATTTCAATAACAAATTTTCACATGGTGGTTTATCACACAACGCCAAAAGAAAAAGAAAATGGGTTCAGGAGAACAAAGTTTTTGATGGTAGTTTAAAAGAAGGTGAGTAGTTGACTTTAAATCCATCAATACTATTTGACATTTAAGTAAACATATTTAGATGTAGAAAACACTCATTGATTAAACACATTTTCAATAACAAATAAAGATGTCTGATATTACATCCCTGATTATATTAAAAATCTAGTGTACGTGCCTAACGTTAGTTCTTTGAAATTAATGATGAAAAACGTTTATTCCATTTTCTAAAGAAAATATATTTAATTTGTGAATAAATTGCAATAATGTATATTTGAATAATGTAATAGAGCTGTAATAATCCATAATAAAGGACTCAGTATTCTGTTTGAATCTCATCTCTCTCATGCTTCATCAGGTCAGGGGTTTGCCTTCAAAAGGAAGGAGAAAGTAAGGCATGAATACAACAAACTTCTTCGAAAGGAGAGGAAGAAAAATCAAGCATCAAAAGTCCAGTCAGAGGAGAAATATCCTGAGCATCTGAGACATCTGTACCTGGCTGAAAAAGAACGACTAGATGAAGAAGAACAGGATAAAAAGAAGAAACGATATGAAGGAAGAGCACTGGATAAAGAGACAGAGGCAGATGATGAACTAAACATGGGGTCGGATTCCTTAGATTCTCCTGAGAAACATGTCTTAACAACAACGACTGACCAAACTACCACCCCTGATTCATCTAATAAACCAGCACAGTCTGACAGGTACAGTAACAGATAGTATATACATATATTATATTAAAATAATAGTCCATTTTCATCAGCCACATTTCTGATTTGTGTCATCAGCTCCCACAAGACCCCGTTCATCCAAAGGAAGCATAAAATGTCCTCATATCAAAAGACAAAGCAAGAATATGAGAAAATGAAGGAGGAACGTGCACAAAAAAAAGAGGTGAGGCAATAAAAACTGGCAAATATAAAATAATAATTACATCTAACAAATGTATACTCAGTGCTAGAGCCTACAAATGCAGTCCTTTTAATCAGTATGGTGCAATTGGTGTACAGTTTTCCATTTCCTAATGAATGTCCTGTGATGTCATAAAGGGATAGTTCACCCAATAATGACAATTCGGTCTTTATTCACTCATCCTAATGTTATTCCAAGCCCCCAAGACTTCTTCATAAGTTAACACAAATGGAGATATTTTCATTTTTATGGTAGGAAATTACAAAATATCTTTACTTAATATCCTAATGATTTTTGGCATAAAAGAAAAATCGATAATTTTGATCCTAGCAATGTATTGTTGGCTATTGCCACAAACATACCCATGCAATTTTAAAAGCCTAAATTCAATCTGTTCATCATATAAAATATATGATTTTGTCTCTTGGTAGTTGCTTGGACTGTCGATGGAAGGACAAAAATCTCTCAGATTTCTTTTTTTTTTTTTAAATATCTTCATTTGTATTTCAAAGATGAACGAAAATAATTGATGATATATATATATTTTTTTTTTGGGGTGAATTAAGCCTTTAAAGAAGATCCATTATGTTATGTACATGTACTCATTTTTTTCACCACCCTTACATTATTTGCCTAAATGATTGACGCATGTTTTATTACTGTATGTGTGTCTCTGTAGGAATTCTTGAAAGACAAATCTCAGCGTGAGGAGGCTCTGAAGAAATACAAGGAAAAGAAAATGGCAACATATCAGCTGTTGAAGAGAAAAACCAAGAAGGGTCAGCCCAACCTCAACCTGCAGATGGAGCTGTTGCTGCAAAAGATTCAAGCTCAGCGCAAGTAATTCAGCATCAGACTTAAAAACTCTTTCAAGTTGTTTAAAGCATTTTAAAGTAAAAATGCACCATCACACAATAAAATGTGCAGTTTGGATGAGTGTTTTTTTTTTTTTTTTTTACATTATTTGTATAACTGTGTTTTTACAGTGATAATTTCTTTTTAGATAAAAGGTTAAAGGTGCAATGTGTAAAAAATGTGAGTACCTATTAACAGAAATGCAATATGACATCCATAACTGTGTTTTCAGTGGTGTATAAAGAACATACTTAATAAACCATAATGTTTTATTACCTTAGAATGAGACATTTATATCTACGTAACCGCGGGGACCCCCTTCTATGAAGGTCGCTGATTGATAATAAAAAAAGCATAAGCCAAATATTAAAATACAAATACAAAATGTGTTGCAATGCATGTAACCTGTTATAAAGAAACATTTCGAATAACAAAAACATGAATCTTTAACAGCAGTTTAAGAAACCCCCATATCTCCAGTAACTAATATGAATTGATGAAGAGGAAGTGGGTGTGGTCAGTAAGTCATATAGCCCCTCCTCCTTTATTTGACTCCTCCACGTCATCATAGTCTGTTTTTAAAAACAAAAGCAAACTGATCATTTTCACTGTAATAATTACATCAAGATGTAGTTTAAATGAGAAACACAAATAAAAACAGATATAGGTTATAGAAACGTTAAAATAACCTACCCAACAGGTTTCTCTCATCTTCGTTGCTGTTCTTCACATCATCATACTCCTCATGATCTCCCTCTGATTCACATGTGAAATAAAACCTCACTTTATAATTTGTAAATCAGCTTATGTCACTGATGTCATTGATCTATTTCACCTCATGACTGTCTGGGATTATTAGATTTACTCCTGATAAAGTTATGATTCATTAATGGTAGAAACACACGTTCAATGTTAGTGGGTGAAGGGTGATAATGAAATGCAGTTCTGTGCGACTCACCGGTTACATCTTCAAAGACCTGTTCATTAATGATGACATCATCATAAGGCTCTGGTGTGTCCACTACACATGAACATATAGACAGAGCAAACATTGCATTATATCTTACAATGTAATGGGATTAACCTATAATATCATTCATCACTAAAAGGATTATGGTACCAATAAAAATAAAAAGTAAACACCATTTTTGACCGAGTCCTGTCCACTTGTCATTACATCATCATAGCTCTCGGGTGTGTATTCTGTAAATATAACATGAGACAATATATAATGTAAATACATTTATATATATACAGATTTGAATATATTTTAAATATTTCTTTCTATTATAGAATAACCGAATTACACCTGTCTCACGGTCTGGTTTCAGTCCATCAGTGATGACATCATCATAATATCCCGGTGTGATTTCCTTCATCATTTCTTCTGCATAAAAACATGTGTATTTAAGGCATTTTTTTTATATTTTAGGTAACTAAATAAATGTAAAATATACTGTTGCAGGTTTTGGGTAATGAATGTTAGCTGTGTCCCAGTTCGTAGGCTCTGTCGTCTGGAGGTCACATTTAAAGGCCGCATACCTCATCAAGGATGTCTTAACTGAGAAAAGTAACCGTAATAAAACTGACTGTTATTTTTCTTAAATGAGACCTCAATGATGTATGCAGTCTTCAAATGTGACCTCGGGAGGACACAGCCTCTGAATCGGGACTCAATAGGGTTACTGACCTTTCAGGCCACTGCCATTGGTGACATCATCATAATATGCAGTATTGAACTCTTTTTCTAATAAGAAAAACATTTTAGTATTGTGATCAGTTGAATTAGTGTTAAAATGTGTGAAAAAAAAAATTAATCATTCAATCAAATTATTGATTTGAATCTTCTTCAGCTCTCTGACCTGAGAGAATCTCATCAGCATCCTCGTACCCAGAATGCAGTTCTTCAGAGACGAGACTTACTGTTAAAGAAGAGCAGAACAGTCAGAAACATGTTTATCATTCTAAACAGATTTAATCCTCATTTCTCCTTCATAAAGCATTGTGTTACTTACAACACAACACAAATATGAATTATTTACATTTTAAAAGCAGCAGAGGCAGAAATCCTAAGTTTTAGGCCTATTAGCAAACACACATGTATCCTCACATAAACCCATGAATCCTCACTGCCTTCCAGAAATACACAGGAAGAGACAAACACACACACACCTGCACCTAGACTTACAAACATACAAACCCCTCCTTATTTACCCTCTACTTACCCTCAAAATAAACACAGGAAGATACACTCACTGACACACACACACACACACACACACACACAAACATGCACCTGCAGCTCTGTGGTTTTCTGAGAGGAATTCTCTGGTTTGAATCAGGAGGTTTAACAGGACTAATAATAGATGAACATCAAGTGTCTGACAGACTCTTTATTAATCATATTAAATAAGTTTCATGTCTCATGTCTCACCTCTCTGAGTGAAGTGATTGTGTCTGTGATGAATCTCCTCATAAACGGCCTCAGTCGTCGTCTTGTGTCTCCTCTTAGAGAGAGCTGTGTGTGTAGACAGACAAACCTGCTGTCAGTTCACAACACATGACTGATCACACACTGAATAAGACACACTATGACAGTCTCTGGATCTCTCCTACCTCTCCTCATCACTCTGTTCTGCTGAACCAGTATAAGCAGTGGCACTAAGAGCAGTACGAGCAAAACTCCCAGTACAACCTCAAGCACAGAGAGAGACGCTGCTGGAGGAGTTTGTGGAGGAGTGACTGATGTTGAGCGCACTGTCTGAGAAACTGGACGAGAAGATGATGTTGTTGTGGCAGGAGTAGTGGACACTGACAAATCTGCCAAAACACACACAAACACATTCAAAAACATGCAAATACACAAAGATTATTAGTATAAAATGACTCCTATTGTTCAGTGTGTTGCTGTGACCTGCACATGTGAGTCCAGCGTGATCTTTGTGGGAACAGTCAGTGTGGTTCTTCAGGGAGTGAGGACAGTCCCACAGGTGAATCTCATTCCCTCTGCACTCGACTCCGTTCATCCACACAACACCTTCACCAGCACCAAACACTGAATTCCCATCAGCCCTCAGTGCGTCTCCACAACCCAGCTGCCTGCAGACCACCTGAGCATCGCTGATGTCCCACAGATCAGCACAGACTGAACCCCACACAGCGTTATGATACACCTCCAGCCTCCCAGAGCACCGGCCCAAACCTCCACTCAGTCTGAGAGGAACATGATCTAAAACACACACAGCAACATCACTGACCAACAATTTACAATGTATTTTATGACTATTTAAAGTTTTAACAAATTTTGAATCTGGAATGTGGATTCAGTGTAGAACACACACGAATGATTCAAGATACTGTAAATTAAGAAAATACATCCTTATTATTATCTTACTTGAACATTGTCTCTGGTGAGGAGATTCTGAGGTGGAACATGTCAGACGACTCCGAGGAGATTCACGAGTCTGCTCCTCTAAAATTAAAACGTTAAAATTTAATTAAATCAATTTGTATACCAAAAACTCAATTTGATAAATGGGATAAACAAGTGAGCAGATTTATTTGGAAGGGGGAAAGACCAAGAGTTAAGCTTAAAACTCTACAACTAGAGAAAAAAAGAGGAGGACTTGCTCTTCCTAATTTTAAAGAATATTTCGTAGCTGCCCAGTTAAGATATATAATCTATTGGTGCTCGTCAGAATATTACTCCAAATGGAAACACGGAACTTGCCAACCACAAACGAGGTTGGGTGAGAAAACATCTAACCAACCTATAGAACCAAATCCTATAGTAGACACAACAATTAAGATTTGGTGGGATGTAATGAATAAATACAAATCGGAGGGCGATTGTAAATTGTTGATCTGGCCATTGTACTCTACAAAATTCAGAAGTGGACAGATGGAGAGCACATTTACAAAATGGACAGACAAGGGAATCACTGCAGTATGTACATTAACAGAGGGTAAAAAGTTTAAATCCTTCGAAAACTTGAAGAGGGAATTTGACCTGGAAAACTCTGATTTATTCAGGTATTTCAACGGCTAGATATTTCCAAATAAGACATTTTTATAATACAGACATTGAAAATCATCTTTCTCAAGAGGGCAGTGATTTAATAGATATGATCGCAGAGGCATACAGACATTTACCCTCGAAAATTGTATCCAGGGTATGCAAATGTTTACAAAATTGCAATAGGTTTGACTCACTATACATAAAACAGAAATGGGAAGTAGAATTGCAGCTTAAATTGTCAAAGGATGATTGGCATTCGATCTGTCTTTCTCAACAAACATCTACTAGCTCCAGACAATGGAGAGAATTTGGCTGGAAGAACTTGGTGAGATACTTTATTACCCCCCTCATCAAAAGCAAACAGTTAAAAAAAGAACAACAGTGTTGGAGACTTTGCGGGGATGTCAATGTCAATCACTCCCATGTATTTTGGTAATGTATAAAAATTCGCCCCTACTGGGAATGTATTGTAACAGAAATGGAAAAAAATTTGGGTTACAGAATAACCCTCAGTCTCTGTATTTAGGCCTGTTAACTAAAGATGTTGTTAAAGAAGAAGACATTTATCTACTCAAAGTGATGCTGATAGCAAGTAAGAAAGTTATAACGAGGAATTGGTTAAAAAGTGATCCTTTGAATCTGGACCAATGGAAGAATATCATGGAGGAAATATGCGCAATGGAAAAAATGACACGACCTGAGACTGGAAGCACATAAATGTAAAACACGATGGTGGAAATGGACTTGTTATGTTACTCATTCAAATGTATGAAACAAATGGAAGACCTGTATTTGTAGCACCCTAGTTGTTGCTGTTATTTTATTTTTTATTTTATTTTATTTTATTATTTGTTTTTTTGTTGTTGTTTGTTTGTTCATTGTGTAAATTAAGAAATGCAAATAAAAAAAAAGGAAAAAAATTTTTAATTAAATGCTGTATAGAAACATTATTATTAATAATAATCATACTGAAACAAACATGATGTTTTCCAACTATCTTAAATCAGTTAAATGATCTTACCCGAGCAGGTGATTTTGGCCACTTCATTATCAAAGACAGTCAGTCCCCAGGGTGAAGATGGACACTGCCATAGAGTGGAATCATGACGTCGACATTTAAAATAATCCAGCCAGTTATGAGACTTCATTCCCTCTGAATTACTGGGTTCACTGCCAGATCTTCCACAGTTTAGCTCTTGACAGATCAGACTCGCTGTGTCTCTGTCCATCTTGTTGTAACACACATTACCCCAGGATCCATTGTAGAAAACCTCCACATTCCCTTCACAGCCCTCAGTTAACCTGATCTCTTTAAACTCTAGATGGAAATGTAAAATTCAATTCATTTATTTTTATTTTTGTAAATCAACAAAATACTATTTGATTTCAAATACTACATTAATATTACTCTATTGTTATATATTGAAAGCAGCAGCTGCTGGTCAATTATTTGCAATAATTCCTGAAATGTGTTTAACTTCACCTGAGCACACGACTCCTACATCCTCCTTGTGTTGACAGTCATGTTTCCCCCAGCCTGGAGAAGAGCAGTTCCACAGGGACGTCTCATTCCCCTCACACTCCACCTCATCCAGCCATATGTGTCCAGAACCAGGACCAAACCAGGCTGGTACCTGCTGGTTACTGAGGGCCACTCCACACTGCAGCTGTCTGCACACCACATGGGCATCTTTAATATCCCAGGAGTCATCACACACTGTCCCCCATGAGCCGCTGTGAAAAACCTCCAGCCTCCCTGCACAGTCTCCCCCAGAACCCACCAGCCTGATGGACCCGCGGCCTGATATTCAGAGAGAGAAAAACACATTATTGATCACCAACAACTGAAGAATCTGCCCAGATGTTGTTGTGCTCACCAAGGCAGGAGATTGACAGCTGTTGTGTGGAGCTGCAGTTGAGAGTTTGTGGAGAGCTGCAGTTCCCCAGATGAGCTTCACTCCCAGAGCACTGGAAGCCCGTCACACACTCATGACTGTGTTCAGGACTGGATGAAGAGGAGCCGGAGAAGTTCAGCACAGAGCCACAGCCCAGCTGTCTGCAGACCACAGAGGATTCAGTGAGACTCCAGGAGTCCAGCAGAACTCTCCTCCAGACCTGATGGATGGAAACTTCCAGCTCCCCCTCACACTGTCTCTCTCCAGACAACCGCACCAGACCGTCATGAACAGACAGAGAGGAATCTGAGGGAAAGATGTGGCATTTTATTAAGATATTGCAAGATTTATATAGGTAATTTATAACTTTGTCCAATAAAATTCCCTCACTAGAGCAAATGACTCCAACATCTCGTCCATGAGAACATTCAGCTCGACTCCATGAAGAGACGGGACATTCTGAGAGTTTTGTTTCATTCCCGTCACAATCAAACACATCAGCCCAGATTTCACCACTTCCCTCTCCAAACCAGTCTGATCCCACAACAGACACAGCAATCCCACAATTCAGCTGTCTACAGAGGACACTGGCAGCTCTCATATCCCAGCATGCATCACACACTGAGCCCCATTCACTGAAGTACTGACGTTCGACTCTTCCAGAACAGATGTCAGGACCATTGACCAGTCTGAGGTCAGTGTAACCTGGACAAAGGAAACAGAGTTTAGTTAAACAGTATAAAACATGCAAAAAAAATTGTTTAAAAAAAGTTGTTTGTAAAGCTCAATTACCAGAACATAACAGTCCAATGTCATTCTCACGGGTACAATTGTATTTGAGAGAAGATGATGTTGGACAAAAAGATATATAAGACTCATTTCCTCTGCACTGAATCTCTTGTGTCCACATCTGAGCGTCTCCTTTTCCAAAAGCATCTTCTCCCAGCACCTGTACAGGAGCCCCACAGTCCAGCTCTCTACACACAACCTCTGCATCCTGCTGGTCAAAGGCAGCGTCACACACTGACACCCATGACCGATCATGAGGCACTTCTACTCTGCCAGAACAGAGAGATCCCCCAACCAGCCTGATTCCTTAAATAAACAGACAATTTTAATGATTGTAAGACTGAAAAACTGGAACTGGTTGATGGAATCAATCTGACCAGTGCTCTCTGAAGACAAAAGGACCTTGCTTGCAAATTAACAAGTGAACAACTCTCTCTCACACACCACATCCCCCACTCTAACTGAGATCACTCACATAAGAATTTAAGTAGTTTTAATGTGAATTATTAAAGCTGCAAGCAGCGATGGGCGGGCCCTCGCACCTGTAGAGCGTCGGGGTGTGAGGCGGCCGCGTTGCATATTCTGTATCTCAGCCAGTCTGGCTGTGACTTTGCTACGCACTTCATTTACCAGAACTTCATTGCCAGCAGGTGGCGCTATTACTGTGGGCTAATTTCGGCATGTACATGTGTTCAGGGCGGGACTGTTGTATAACATATAAAATTTCGCGCAGGTCTGAGGATGTACACTGAAGTTACAACAACTTCCTGTTTAATGGCGAATCATCGACGCCTCGAACATGCCAATGGACGAAAACGCGCAGATAGCACAACTTTACATCGTCAATGCTTTTAGAAGGCACAGCAGAAATGTGAAGTCGATCCGACTAAATCCCTAGTTAGTTAAAGTACGCAATGAGTAAATCATCCAAAAATGCCGGTAAAATTACAAATGGCCGACTTCCTGTTGAGTTTAGGGCATCGCTCCAAGAGACATTTCTGTACGTCTGGACATGGGAGATGTACCACAGAAATTTCATACATGTTGGTCAAACATGCGGCGGGGGCTGCTTCGTTAAAGGTCACTTTCTGTTGCCACTAGGTGGCGCTATGACTGTGGGTGAATGTCGGCATGTAGATTTGTTCAGGGCGGGACTCTTGTCAAATGTGTAAAATTTGGTGCAGATCTGGGCATTTACAGCCAAGTTACTACAACTTCCTGTTTCATGGCGAATCATCAACGCTTCGGACACGCCCATTGATGAAAATGCGCAGATAGCACAACTTTACATCGTCAATGCCTTTAGAAGGCACAGCAGAAATGTGAAGTCGGTCCGACTAAATCCCTAGGAGGAGTTCGTTTAAGTGTGTAAATCGTCCCAAAATGGCCTCCAAATTCAAAATGGCGGACTTTCTGTCAAGTTTAGGGCATTGCTCCAAGAGGCTTTTTTGTGCTTCTGGTCATAGTAGATGTACCACAGAAATTGTGTACATGTCGGTCAAACAAGCGGTGGGGGCTGCTTTGTTAAAGGTCACTTCCTGTTGCCAGCAGGTGGCGCTATGACTCTGGGTGAATGTCGGCATGTAGATTTGTTCAGGGCGGGACTCTTGTCAAATGTGTAAAATTTCGTGCAGATCTTACAGCCAAGTTACTATAACTTCCTGTTTCATGGCGAATCATCGACGCCACGGACACGCCCATTGACGAAAACACGCAGAAAGCACAACTTTACATCCTCAATGCCTTTAGAAGGTACAGCAGAAATTTGAAGTTGATCCGACTAATTCCCTAGGAGGAGTTCGTTAAAGTACGGAGTGTGTAAATCGTCCCAAATCGGTCACCAAATTCAAAATGGCGGACTTCCTGTCGAGTTTAAGGTATGGGTTCTTGAGGCTTTTTTGTGCATCTTGAAATGATACACATCCCAAGATTCCCCACCAAATTTCGTGCATGTAGGTTGAACGTGGACGAGGGGCTAATTTTTTCCAATTTTCTAGGTGGCGGTAGCGAGCCATTTTGCCCCGCCCATCCGCGAAACCCACAAAATACGAAATTTTTCACCAGTCCTGACATGCGTGCCAAATTTGGTGAGTTTTTGAGCATGTTGCGGCCCCGAAAAAGGCGCTTACTTTGCAGAAAAAAAATAATAATAACCCTAACAGTTTCAATAGGGTACTCGCACTGTTAGTGCTCGGGCCCTAATAAAGGATAGTTTAGTATCATTTTGAAAGTCTCAGGGTGACTGGTAATAATGTGTCAAAGTAAATCAAAATGTAATAGTTCTCAAGAATATAGAAATATCTTGCACATAAGAATGTGTCTTTGAGTCAACACCTCCTGAGATTGTCTGAATGCTATTTCCACTGTTCTTAACAGATGGTCAAAACTTCTACCCCCAGTAAGTATGTTGGGGAATACAGTAACTTTCCATTGTAACCTAATGATTTACATATCAGGTGAGGTCTGGCTATATAAGGAAATAGTAGTAGTAGTAGTAGTATACTTTATTATCAGGGCTAGTTCAGGGCTGTTGTCTGTATCAGATCAGTCTCATGATGCTGTGTCGTTGAGACTCATTCATGTATCTTAATGTCAGGTAAAAGATTCCTCTTAATTTTAGAACACTTGATGGTTTGCATTGATTATCTTTCAATTGATTGTGGAATTGTAATTATACATTTACCTGACATAATAAATTGTTATATTTGATTGTTCTAACAGACATTGACTTTATTTTCATTAGAGTTAAAAGGAATAGTCAAACATTATTGTGTATTTAATGATGCACAGATATCATTGTTAAACCTTTTTCATTTTATGGAGTCAGATGAAACGAGTTAATACATAAGATTAAATGTTATGCATTTAATTAAAAATCACTTTGCCATGGGAAAGACGGAACACGCATGAAACCTTCACCTCAAATCGAATTCCGCCATTGGATCGATTTCAGAGACCTTACATGATATTTGCTTCTATACCTATTATTTTATAAAACTAAACAGTTACCAGTTATATTTTTTTAATTGTCAGCAGTTTATTTCATGCATAAAATTCACACAAGCTTCTTGCATTTCATGAGCTTACACCCACAAATAATTTGACGACTGGTGTCAGGGGACAGCTCATAGCCCGAACCTAGAGTACACCCGCTTTTACCATTTAATGAATAACAGGGGAGAAAAACGTTTGTAAGATAAATGCACCCAGGGTGTTATTAAAATGCATTTAGTCTACGAAATGCTCAACCTTTGAACAATACATGCGTTTTGTTCATAGAAGGGATTGTCTGCGAGAAAAAACAAACAAAAAAAAAACATGTTGCACACAAATTGCTTCATGTACATTCCATCTAGTAATTCAGCACGTCACATAATAATACATTACTTCACCCCACACAGACAACCAAACAACCGCCTGATGTACCACTGAATGTGGTGAGAATTTTTTTTATTTATCCTGGAATTCTGTGGTGAAAACAGGTTAGTAATTATGAAAGAAGCATGGATGAGCTAAGCTTACCAGAGCAAACGACTCCAGCATCTTCAGTATGTTTAGCTTTTACTCCCCATCCAAAAAATCCACAGTTCAAGAATGTAGACTCTGATCCAGTACACAGTAAATCAGAAATCCAGATTTCTCCTGATCCTTCTCCAAAGTAAGCACCCTTTGGTGCACTTAAAGCCTCTCCACATCCCAGCTCTCTACACACCACTGCAGCATCAGCCATATCCCAACCAATATCACACACTGTTCCCCACTGACCATCATGAAGAACCTCCACTCTACCAGCACAGCGACTCTTACCACCTACTAATCGCACTGTTTCTAAAGGTAAAGAGGGCAGAGAAAGATAAAGAAAAAAAACAAAACAAATGTTGTACAATATTACTCAATGACTTTATGTCCATACTTGTATAGTTCATATGTCGTTCACCTACCAGCACATACAACGCTCACATCGTTGTCAATGGAACAATTGTGTGAAGGTAACATTGGACAGAGAGCAAACTGATACTCGTCTCCTCTGCACTGAATCTCTTGTGTCCACATCTGAGCGTCTCCTTTTCCAAAAGCATCTTCTCCCAGCACCTGTACAGGAGCCCCACAGTCCAGCTCTCTACACACAACCTCTGCATCCTGCTGGTCAAAGGCAGCGTCACACACTGTGTACCAGGTGTCCCCATGAGGCACCTCTAGTCTTCCAGAACAGCGAGAACCTCCAACCAGCCTGATGCCTGAAATGATTATGATAACAAGCCATTTAAAATATCAAGATAAAAAAATCAAGAATAAGAATATAAGAATAATGTAGAAGAAAAATTCATTCAAAAAATTCAAAAATTCAAATACTTGTAGAAAATTCAATACAGCTAAATTAGGGACTAAATTGCAATTTTGAGTATTTTTCAGAGAAGTTGGCCTACATAAAAAGTAGACATGAGTATTGAGTATACTTTCTTGTTTTTTTTTAGTTTTTTTTTTTAGTATACTTTATTGTTTTGTTTTTTTTGTTTGTTTGTTTGTTTGTTTTTTTAAAGAAGTGTATAATAGCACACTTCAATTTGTTACCTTTTCGTAAGTGAGAGCATGGAGAGTTGTATTATTTTGTTAATGTTTGGTAAGACAGAGTTTTTTCTTAGGGCAAAATTAAACTTGCAACAAATTAAAAGCTGTTTTGAAATCTTCAACTTATTGTAAACTATTCAGAGTAATGTCAAGATCAAAGA